CATGCAGGAGCACAGGAACAGTGTGAGGAGGAAGGAGCAGCAGAGAGGAACTGTTATGGATTGACCATCCCTGACCACCCCTGCATCTGCATCTGATACCACCTCTGCACCATTGTGGAAGAGGAGGCACAAGAGCAAAGTTGAGTCTGGGAAGAAAGGGGAAGGTGGGGGAAGGTGTTTTGATTTTTCCCTTTGTTTGTTGCTATCCTCCTTTATTTTTAATTGGCAATAAATTAAATTAGTTTTCCCCAAGGCCAGTTTGTTTTGCCTATTATGGTAACCCTGTCTTAACCCATGAGCTGTTTTCATCTTATTTTCTCCTGGCTGCTGAGGAGAGGGCATGAGAGCACAGTTTGCTGGGCATCTGGCACCCAGCTAAGGTTAACCCACCACAAAAGGGTTTATTCATCTACAACTACGCACTGTTACCTCAACCTAAACAAAGGAAATACGGACCATTTAACCAGTTGAGGGTCAGCATTTTCTATGAATTCCAGCTCACTGTCTCTTCTCTCACTTTGCTTATCCAGCTCACATAAAACTCGCTGCCCTGGTTCTTGCCAGCCTGGCCTACTTCAATGTTCAGCATTTAATGTCATAGAAAGATGTTCAATTTTCTCCTTCACCAGCATTTGCATATCATCAAGTTTTCTTGATCTGGTTCTCACCCTGTACAAAACTAATTGCCTCTCAAAAACAGCAACAATGCTGGATTCCCCGCTACCTATTTAAAAAAAAAATTCCTCTCACACAGGGTACATGTGCAGAACTGCTTGAGTCAAGTTACATTTATGAGGATAATCTTCTCCATCACTTTTGTTAACCAAAGTAAGCTCATTTTTCACTAGTACATTTTAGTCCAAAGCAACCAATTTAAATGGTTTTAGAGCGACAGTGTCTGTAACCTACAGGTGGAGATCCACTGCTAAGTAAAGGGAAATACATGAATGCATCATCTAGCCAGAACCTGTACAAAAGAGGTCCCTTCTTTTTATTATAAGCTGAGGGGAGAAGTTGTCCACAGCTATAATGGTATTATAGGAGACAATGGGTGACTTGTTGAGGGTGGTAAGCTGTCTTCAACTGAAGGAAGGAGAGCCCTCAAGAAAAACAAAAGGCCACAGACCCAACTTACTGCCTCACCATAGTCTCCTATCCTAGCGCTGAAGACTGTTGAGGTACTGTAGTAGTAGTCCCAGTGCCTAAACACTGAAGAGGGAGGAGCTTTCTCATACCGGGTACAACTGCTCTTGCTGAGTTTTCTACTTATCCCGTACCACCTGAAATAAGTAAACTCAAGGAGTTTTCTACCAGACAGCACCAAGAAGAGCACAAAAGCCCACAACTGGAGACTGAGGCTAGCTAAACAGGTCAGAAAAAAGGCACCTAACCACTCTCTCACAGGAAACAATAATTTGCAAAAAAGCTATCATAAAAAGAAATACCCTACCACCCCCACAGAAAAAGCAACATCCCTGAGTAAACCATGCATGGGCTGCTTTATAAGACAGTTACTTAAATTTACTTGTACTTACTGGCTTTGAAGCCTGTATTTGTTCCAGAGTCTCAGACCAGACTGACAGAATTATTTCTTTCTAACCAAACTATTGCTAACTTTCAAGACTGATTCTTACAGCTTTCTAAAACTGATTTTTTTTTTAAATCTGTTTTGTTAATGGCCAGTGATGCTTCACACCCTGCTTGAAATATAGGTAGCAGTGACTAGATCTCCCCAAATTGGCTTATACTTCTTGCTCAAGTCTCAGCTTTATCCTTGGCATGTTCTCAAGCTGCATCTGCCGCTTTGACAGAACCATAGTGTCATAGCCCAACAGAACCTCTTCTGCATTGAAGAGGGAAGCCTGATGAATTTCTATGACTAACTTATCCTCTGAGAATGGAACAGATTTTCATGAAGACTGTCAAACCATGTTCTAGCTTCAAAACAGAAGTCACATGCAACTTCACATTGTCTAGCCACAGAGTTGTGTGACAGCCCTTATGGTTACTGATCTTGCAGGGCTTTTTAACCACCCTTCACTAAGACCACATACCAAGTTCTAAAATGGGTCATCCAGGCTCTTTCCAGATATTATCACCAAGAACCAGATTAGGGTTAGCCCCCACAGAAAACATTACAGCATTACCATGCATGCAAACTCTTCAGCAGCTCTGTCCCACATGCTACAATTAGCTCTGTATAGACTTGTCAGATCCTGTCTATTTGGTTAGTGTTTTTCCAACGGGCCTGCAATCCAACCTACACACCAACCGACATTAAAGACAGGCCTTGCTAACACTGAACAGCTCCACTCAGCTCAACAGTCTGTCACTTTGTGTACTATAGCTGAAATTCTCCTGTTCATTGCACCTATCCCAACACTTTCTTTTTTGAAATGCGTACTTCTACTTGACAGGTAGTCTGGAGGTACGGTTCTGATGCTGCATTAGATTGCATAACCACACATGCACAGTCTCCTTTGCAAACACATGCTTGCATTGATAAAATACTTATTTCTGAAGCTTTTTTACCTATAGATATGTAACAGAGTACTCTATATGTTAATAAGAACATAACGGATTCTCAAAGACATCAGAAGTCGGGGAAGAACTCTAGCATTAGGGAAGAGTGAAGCAATTTAGAAAAGGATGTGTATGTAAACTGTTTCAGATTAACATAGGGGAATGCCAATTAAGTAGCTGCTTATTGCCCTCACTTAAGAATAAAGACTTTTTCTACTCCCATGCCCTTCTATCCTTAAAATTACCAGCTGCTTGCTTTTTATGTATTTCACAGAATAAGATACACAATACCATTTTTGAGAAGTAATAAACCACAGTAGCAGAAGACTAATCTGCTTGTGCTGAATGGGGAAGCAGATGGGACACTGAAACAAATACCAAAATCTTCCATCCTATTTTTCTACCTGTGATCAACAACAAATTTGCCCTCACTATCAGTTTTACAGAAAATACTTCGCTTTGCTACCAGTGACTCTTCCACACCACATCTTTTTTCAAGAAGGACCTCCCTCTCCAGGCAACCAGCCAGGGCCCTCATTTTAACATTTCTCAGCTCAGATAATTTTTACATTAATGGCCATGCATATCTTCCACATAGCTATAACTTTAGCTGCCTAACTCCAGTATAGCTTAGCAGTATTTCCACCCCAAGCTTAAATAAAACATTAGTACAGTGAATAAAAACAAATATACCTTTAATCACCCTGAAAATCAGGTTTCACTGATTTAAGTTTCACTTTTATTTACAAAGAGAGAAATTTATAACAAACTAGACATCTCAATTAAATTATTTAATAAAGGTTAAATCCTGAGTTAGCAAAAATTGTTGCTTCACTGAAGTTGCAGAAATTGCTGACAGACATTTTTGTATTTTTGGCTCCCAGTACGAATTCTTCACACAGCACTTTTTCAAAGCTTTAAATCAGAGCCAAAACACAAGATAATAATCAAAACTGAGGAAGATGGGAAATATCAGTGCAGCCTCAGTTAACTAGCTGTGCATCAGCTACAGTACAGTACGAAACATCCATTGAGATTCATGACATAAGAGTTATGAACAAAAACACCGTTTTTCAAATCATTAATAGCACTTTTTAAAAAAATAATAAATGCATAATACAGGGATTGTAGTTTCAAATCAATACAATCAAGTGAGTGATGATTAGTGCACATGTTAATGTAGAAAGACCCACTGGTTTTAAGATAATAATGGCCAGTTTATTATGATTTCAGTAATTAAACCTCCTTCCCTAATCCATGAGTCAGTTGAGAATCTTCACAAATTTACCTTGCAACAAATGAAACCAGTTCTTGCCACTATTGTACACAATTACAGCGCAATTTGAAGGAAAAATACCTGATCAGGGAGCTGCTGTCCATCACAGCTCACACAAAGTAAAGTCTCACAAAATATTCTTTCACGTGCTCTGTAAACTTCCCAGTACCAGTATGCTTTTACTCAAAATAATGATGCATGCACAAAATCTGCTTTGTATGTGATTTGGCAATACTCGTGAGATGAACAAAATACTAATTTGTAAAAATCTGTAGCATTAGTAAATTCAATCTGGAAGATATTCTAAATCCCTCACAGTATTTATAAAACCCATCCCATGGGTTAGACACCTTTTTAAAGATGACTTCTCTTGGTATTTTTCCTCAGGGAAAACAAACTGTATTTTAGGAACCCACTAAAAGTATTAGCAAAGTGCAATACTGTTACATTACCAGAAGTCTCTCCAGAGGAGACAGATACTAAAAATTAGCCAATTCTAATAAATTAGAAGATAACTTGAAATTTAGACTAGATTAATTGTAAGACATCCACAAAAAGGAGTGGGGACTTAGCACTCTCACATACAGGAGAGCAAGGGACATGCTTATATGCTGATACTGGAAGATCCCAACAGGAACAAAAACAGAAGATGATAGTTAGGTCAAACTTACCCACTCAAGTTTTAACGCTGAAGAGACAGGCAAAAGGGTAGGAACTAACTTTTTAACGAAGACATATTATTTGGAAAAGAATCTAGATAAATAATTACCACATTCCATTATAATATCAATTTTCCTGCATTGTGCATTTGCCAAGGACTGTGAATGCGACCTACACAGGCATCATAACTTTCAGTGACTTCATCCAGTGACAAGAGTAATGTTTACAACATTGCCAGCTCTGCATCCCCCAATCTGAACAAGCATCTTTTAGCTGAAGGTCTTACTTTAATGGGACGGATAGGATCAGTACACGCTAAGTCCCCACACATGCATGAAGTATGGTTGTATTTTACATAACATAAAATAATTTCATGAGGCAATTTCATTGCAATTCTCATCTTATTATGTTTCTCAAATACAGTTTTCATTTTAAGAAACCCAGTAGTCAAACTGCCATTTCAGTGGAAGAACCAAGGTGAACTGTGTTCACGTTGACACGAAGTATCACTATATCCCCAAGAGAGCAGTAGTCTTTAAATAGTCCAACTGCCAAAGAAACACCATTTGTCGACAAAGTACTTTAAATTCTTGTGAAAGTCTCTGGCTCTGGCATCTTGTTAGAATAAATTTGTCAGAGAGATTACTCTATTAGCACTCCATTACTGTCAACATTAAAAGACAAAAAGGTCGTAAGTGCAGGACCAACCAGAAGAAAACGTCCAGTTTGGAAACCTCTCCAGTAAGGCATATAGTTGAGGTGACTTTTGATCTTCTCCAAAAAAGTAATGTGCTGCTACAGCGAGAGAGACTATTCCATCAGAATGCTTTTCTGGGACCTGAAAGTGAGAAAAGGGCAACACAGTCTTTATGATTGTTTTAAATGTAAGATAATCCAGGTATACTTTCCTACGGACTTGTTATCTATGCAACAAACTTCATCCTGCAGCTCTTTGTCCTGTATGTTAAAATACTTCCTATCTTCAAATGTATCAGTCTGATTACATGCTGAGTTGAAACTGACTTTAACTTGCAACTAGGTACTTGGATTGCAGTGCCTCTGACATGTTAAACAGATTGCACTTGCTCTAACTTCAATGTTTATCTCTGTCAGTTCTGCTGACAAATCAAGACATAGACTCCAACATAGCATTTATATTGATCCTTCTATTGTGAATCCTTAGGATGAAAATCCTTTTCTGCGTAGGTTTGTCACTATCAGTCTTGCAAAGCTTGTCACCCTGCAGGTTCCTGTCTGCCTTTATCAAGTACCCTCAGAGGATTATTTGGCAAAGCGTACAGATTGCCTGATCCAGGAAGGAACAAGCAACTTTATGAACTTCCAAAGGTTGTTGTCATATTTACTCAAAGAATAAGACACCCTGAAACCTATAATAAAAACATACAGATCTGCAAAAAGTTCTTCATTGGTAAGTTAACAGGGGCAGGGATCATAAATCCCACTGGAACAGCAATGCTGGAAGCCTTGCTTCCAACTGAAAATAACATGGAAGAAAATTTAGAAAACAAAGCTTTTACAACTCCTTTCAAGACAGGTAAGTTTCTCACCAAGGACTCCCTATACATGAAAAGGAAACTACTCACAACAGGAAAAAGAACTCTGAAATAGCAGTAATAAAGATAAAACTTTAGGAACTATGATGTTAAGATCTGAGAAATCCAAACTTACAACCTCAGACCCAGGAGACAAGGAAAATATTCTCCCTTTGGCTGTTTGGCAAGTTAGTGGACTAAGCATTAAAAATATATTTTGCTGATATATAAAGCTGAGGGACAAATTAAAAGAGGGATGCTAGAATTAGGATCTATCAAATAAAGCAAAGCTTAAGAAAGTTATTATGACATTTTTCACAAAAGAATGCAGAGATTGTGACAACAGGTCAGACCAAGGGATTGACGGGTTTCCAGCAGTGGCATACTCACCGTCAGTTCTACCCAGAAGTGCCATGGTGTAGCCTGCAGCCCGTGGGAGTAAAACACAAAGTAGTCTCCTCCTAAGCTAGCAACTGGTATACCATCCCCGAGAGACCAGGTGGACAGAGCTGACCCTTCATGTGGCCGAACATACAGAGACATGTGACTTGGACCTGCAGAGAAGGATACATGTACCCAGATGTATCAACAGGTGGAGGTAGAATAACCATCCATTTTCCTATACAGTACCATGTTACCTGCGTATTCTTATTTGTGTCTTCCAAAACATGATACCACTGTCTCCTCTACAGAAGCTTCAATCATTTCTAAGCAGTGAGATAAACAAGCTGATGATGTAGAAGTGGGACAGAGCTATACAATGGACTTTAAGAAAGGACTTGTTATAAAAAGATCAAGGCTTACTCAAAATAGACAAGGTTATCAGTCCCCCAAGTAACAACCACAACGCAACACCCACAGCTTCTACTGGGTTATGAAACTGAATTAATTCATGCTAATCTCACAAAGCTTGCTATCTTAGGAACTGCACTAGAACCTGCAGTACTGGAGTCAACACCTGATTTATTATGGGCATAAAAATAAACACAAATCACAAACCAGAAGCTTCAGTCACTCACCAGATACTTCAAAGCTTAACCTCACACTGTTCCAGGGCATCAGCTCCTTGGACAGAACTTTAAAGTGAATGGGGCTTCTTGGAAAAATTTCTGGAGCAGGCAGATACCAGTTTTTCCTGGGGAAAAGAGTTTTAACTTATTCTCAATGCAACACTCAGAGGTATTAAATATGAGAAGCAAGAAGAAGTTTTTGCATAGCTGACCGTGCTGTCACTAAATGAAATATTCAAAAGCTAGCGATTCTAGCACAAGGCAGGTAAAATTAGCAGCTTGTGGACAGACAAATATTTAAAGGGCGTATTAATAGAAAATTAGGCATCAGTGTGTTCATTCACTACCTTCATCTGCCTTAATTTAAAAACTAATAAAATAAGTACGAATATTTGCATCTACAAACTGCTGCACTTCTGCTCACAAGATTCTTGGGGCATGAGAAATCATCACAGCAACTAGATTTCTTCTGTGGAGATTAGCTACTCTAGACTTCCTCTGCTGTCAGTTGGGGCGAGACAGGTAAGAAGGGAAGAGACATACATACTCCAAATCTGAACTGCCCTTTAGAACACTCCCCTTCACCTTTTTCTCCACTGGTCCTAATACTGGTTTTCTACACATCAACTTCTACAGCTCCTGCAGCAGACACAGCAATCTCTTGCAGAGATTCTGGCAAAAGACACGGTGTCTGGACAAAAGTTCAAGTGTCTTCTGAAGTGGAAGGATTATTTACTTTTGGACCAAGATTAGCCTTACTTTTTCTTCCTTTACAAAAGCAAGACTGCATAAGTGACCAATGTGCTTTGGCATTAAGTGTGCAAGTGAAGCAGTGTTCACACCAACCGGAACATGAAATGCACTGGCAGAATCCAAGGAAGACCACAGAAAGGAGCCTGCTCCTCACATGGAGTTCTAATGGTATCGTTGATTTCAGGTACATGGGGAGTTATGTGAGATATTCCATTATAATCAAATCCATTAATCCATATACCAGAGTCACTTTTAACCACATTTCCATCTAGGTCATGAAATCTCCTGCTTGTGTGCTAGAAGGACAAAAAAAAAAAAAAATAGAAAAAAGACAGAAAGATGATGGAGCCTATGCAGTTCACACAAGTCAGAAGTGATTCTGAAATACCCTCCATGTCAATCCTTAAGGTCTACTGCATTCACAGTACGCACTGAACACACATCTGAGTACTTATGAATATATAGAGAGAATTACTCAGATAGAAGAAACACACCATAAAAACACCTACATTCAGAAGATGACTGTGCCTGTAGCTATTTGCTCATCTCCCATCACATTCACTTTTTAAGTTATTGGTTACTCAACTCTCTCACTTAAAACCCCCTAAAAAAACCCTACTCTTCTGACACAGACGAACTGAACACTGAGCCTGAAGTAAGGGAAACATTCAATTCTTTCAAGTCCAGAAATAATCATTAGAGCTTTTAAATCACACAAGAAAGGAAAGGTTACTCTTGGCAGGGGGGAAGGGGGTGGGCATGGTTCCGATAAGGTTTGAAAAAAAAAAAAAAACAACCAACAAACAACACATACACTTCTGCAACCAATAGAGGGCAATACAGTATGCAAGGTTTTTCTCACCTGGAGAAAGACTCGTTTAGGCTTTGGATTAGTCGCATCAGAACTGTAAGGAAAGAAGATTCCACTACCAACGAGAATCAGAGTGACTACAAACATAGTAGTTAAAGTTATTAGCGTCGCTTTTGTACTTTTGACAAGGTAAATGAAGTTAATCTAGAGAATAAAAAGACATCCCAGTTAAAAAACTGCAAGACTTAGAAATGAGACACTATTTGTATAACTCAAATCCAATTATGGAACTGAAAGTACATTAAAAAGAGATCATTGCAAGTACTACAGGACAGAAGACATTTCTTTGTAATCTTAGTATTTAAACACTAAAGGTATAAAGTGAGTACTTCTTGGAGCTTTCAAAAATTTTGTATTTTTTAAAACATCTGCCAACAAAAACCTACAACCTTTGTAGCAAGGGAGCAGAAAAGAAAAGCCTGAGAATTTTTTTTTTTTTTTAAAGTGTAGCATACGTATTGTTTAGCCACACACTATACTTCACCTAAAATGAATGCCTGTTCTAATTCCAGCATTAAATTGCATATTTTACACCAGTCTTTACATCATCATAGAACAGACGCATTTTTATAACCCCTGCTTCAACGACATTTCTTTGCCTAACGTAAAACATGGAATCTTCTACATATTCCTAGAATTTTCCTGTAATATTTAAGATATTGTCAAAATATAATTAACTTCAAGTATTAATTTAGAAAAACATTGATTTTTAAACTCTCTCTAGAGAAAGTTAAATGTTTTAAACATTTACAAACTCTACTTACAAAGTAGGATGACAGAATCATAGTGATGACCACAATAAATCCTGCCAACACCACATCTGGTAGAATTTCTGAGCCACTTCGTCCCATGATAGGAGTAAACATTTCAAATACAGTCCAACTAAGATACATCATATACAGATAGGGAACAAACATTCCCAGCATGTACATCATGACAAATTTCATTGTGGCACCTACAGGGGACAGAAAAAAAATTAAGACAAAAAAATCCGTAAAAGCTTAAAAGCTTACTGCTGCAAGGCCCAATACACAACACTCATCTTCACCCCTGATGTGGTTATGGAAAGGGCATCTCATTTTGCCTAGCGAGTGCCAGTATAACTCTTTCAAAAACACCACAAACCCATTCTTGTCTTACAAAAAAACCCAAAAAACTTTAAACAGGTGTTCTGTCCCAAACACTATTTAAATATCACAGTATTTTTAACAACTTTTACTGTCCATCAAAGTACCTGATCCTTATTAGTAACCCCACACGGAATTGTTCTTTTTAGCCCAAGACGCCAGATGTTCTTCAGCGTATTTTTTGATAGACCTTCTCCATACTTTCAAACTGTTTTCAGTTCAAGAACACTTTTTCTTGTGGCAAGAGTGTCATGTGTACTTTGACTCAACAAAATTCAAAGAGTGGGATTTCTTTTGTTTAAAGAATAGAATTTCGAGGAAAACACCCAGTATACAACAATAGAGACAGAGCTTTTGAAATACAACCTCTCCCCCTCAAAACTCATACCTTTTTGGCTGAATTCTTTATGGATCATCAGCTTAGCAAGTAAAGGAAATGCTACCCATAATGTACAAATGAATGCTGAACAAAGGCCCATCTGAGTAATCACAGCCAATGCTATAGACCAAATCATCAATGAGGCATCAAAAAAAATATCTCCCAGGTACTGCTCATTCACATTCTGTAACAAAAAAAGCAAAGACACTCATTACCGAGCATATTTCATGTCATTACTAAGCAGATTCCATGTATCTCATCTCATGAGAACACATAGAAAACCCCTTATTTCTTGTATATAATTGTTTTCCTTGGACAAAAAAATTCTGCAAGCATTATCTCACCATTCTCTTACCATTTAGAGTTATCCATGATAGTACCTTTTTTAAAAAAAATTTACATCTGCTCTGACATAGCTTGAAAGAGAGATTACAATGGCTGGGGCACAGGGAGGAAGAGAACGTACAGATGACAATACCAAGAAGATGGAAGGCTAATGTTTTAGGTACACAGGCAAACAGGGCCTTTTTATAAAAAACATTGGTATTTGTGAAGCATGTATTATGTTAAGTAGTTATGTACTACTTATGTGTGAAAAAATATCTATATCTCCTGAGCTTCATAGAATGGTGAGGGTTGGAAGGGACCTCTGGAGATCATCTACTCCAGCCCCCAGGCCAGAGCAGGGTCACCTACAACAGGTTGCACAGGACGGTGTCCAGGCAGGTTTTGAATGTCTCCAGCATGGGAGACTCCACAACCTCTCTGGGCAGCCTGTTCCAGTGCTCCACTACCCTCAAAGTTCCTCCTCATGTTAAGATGGAATTTTCTATGTTCAAGCTTGTGCCCATTACCTCTTGCCCTGTTGCTGGGCACCGCTGAAAAAAAGACTGGTCCCATCCACTTGGCACCCTCCTTTTAAGTATCTGTAAGCATTAGCAAGAACCCCCTTCAATCTTCTTTTCTCTAGACTAAAGAGACTCAAGTCCCTCAGCCTTTCCTCGTATGAGAGATGTTCCCATCCCCTAATCATCTTTGTAGCCCTTTGCTGGACCCTCTCCAGCAGATCCCTGTCTTTCTTGAACCGGGGATCCCAGAACTGGACACAGTACTCCAGATGTGGTGTCACCAGGGCAGAGTAGAGGGGGAAGTTCTAAACCTGTTTTTGAACAGCAGGTGTTAACACACTTCTTATACAAGCACTGTTATTTGTGCACAAATATTACACTGGTGCCTTTATATGTCTAGCCACAGCTGTCACTTCAGAAGTCTGGGTTTTTAAATATATTATTTGTTTTGAAGAAAACACATGTATAGGTCAGATAATACCAGATATGTTTTCAAAAAGAAGGAAATTTAACCATCAAAAATGTGGCTGGGTTTTGTGTGTTTTTTTTTTTTTTTCCTTAAGTTACATGGTCAATGCTCCAGAGTTTGTACTGAAAGACTCTTAGTTGCAAATCCTGTATTGTAGCAAGAAGGACTGCTTGCGTGAACAACGGCTATCGGAAAGCACCTAGTTCAGTTTTGGGCTAAGAAAAAAAAAGAAACAAAAAAGGAGAAACAGATGAGTTGCCAAACCTATTTCAAAACAGAAAGCTTATTAATTCGTAAGTTCTTGAGCCACTAACAGAAAACACCCAGGCATTGCCTGTGATAGCCAAGTAAGAGACTAGCTTCCAAAATCTTTATGCAACTCTAAATACAATGTAAATTACAGAGGCAGCATAAAATGTATGGTATACTGCAAGCTCCAGCATGCAAGAAAACTAAGAGACTCATGATATCAAGTTGGTTGATCTGCTGATCAGACAATCAGTAGGCAAGAAGTCGATCCAGAGCCTGGAACAGCTGAACAGTCAGTGAAAGTATGCTCTCCCATCAGCTTGTCCGAAAGACTAGAAAATAGCAGCATCGCATCTATTTAATAAATGGCTCATCTTTTCCAGAAAAGGACACCACCACATACATTCAATAACATATATATACTAGTTAATGCTCCCTCTCCCCAAACAATTAAAAAACTCACTTCCAGATAAAGACACAATGGATTCACCCAGAACTTTCCATACAATCAAGTTTCAGTAAGTTCTTAAACTTCTTCAAATAGTTGGATGAATCTGGATTTGGTTGACAACTTAGGTTTCCTAAATTCGCTTACCCAAAGCTTGTACAAACAGGCAAGATGATAAGTAACAGTAAGCTAAATCACTAAATATTACTGTGCCTAAAACCTAAACCTAACAGGCTCACGTAGTCGACTTCTACCGTGGAAGAGCATCATCTGTCAGATACCTCAAGGCACCACCTCAAGGCCCTATTTGTTTTTAATGCAAAGCCATTAAACTATCATCTAAACATATGGGATTGTTATAAGCTGTAATTATGACATTATTATGCAAGTCAAATCGTGTTGGTTAGTCCACAAAAAAGAATTCTAAGCAAAAAAGGTAGATAAACAGTAATCATGGCCAATGACAGCAATGGAAAGGTAACACACACCAAATCCTCACCAAGCCTTGCAGAGGCCTAAATAACCTTTACCCATTGCAGAAAAGAACATGGACTATCAAGAGCCCTGTTCCATCTCTAGGTGTGGTCAAAACAACTAACAATCAGAATAATCATAGAGGGAAGGGTGACTACTCAATTTTTTACAACACCTTCATTTAGAAAGCTCTGTACAGCACAGATTACTATATTAGAAGAGGGCATGACAGAACTAGAAATTCTGATAGATGCAAGAAAAAAAACCTCCCATATGAACCATCTGAAAAAAAAAAGTTGCATCATTGGCTTAGAAGGTTATGAATACAAATGGTATCACCAAAACAATATGCATAATAAAAGGAATAAAACAGAGAGAACTGGAATTCCAAGTTTCGTAACAAAATGTAAATGATAAATTAGATTAAATAAGGAATGAAAATATTGAAAGATATATAAGGAGGTACCGTACCAAAACAAATTATTAAATTTAGAGAACCTGTCATACAAGTACCTTCAGAGGCAAGATCTGGTAGGATTCAAAGAACATTTGAGTATATGTATAGATTCTGTAATTATCAAGAACATGAAAGGTATCAAAAAACCTAAATTCTCCAGCTGTTGCTCTGATATCTTATCGCTGAAGTGATGGCAAGAAGGGAAGGTGCAGACAGGAAAAGAAACAGTACTTTATAATGTATTCTACTAGACTTTTGCCTTTTTTCTGAAGCAGCTCCAAAAGGTCATTAGAAAGCCTTTAATCACAAAGCTCTTAACTCTCTGATTTAGTACAGCAAACCCTATGCTTAGATGAAGTGATTTTTACAGCAACATTTTAAAAACCTCTGTCTAATACAGAAAACTTTGCATCTTTTTCATTAACTCAAAAATTAAACCTGCCACAGATTAAACACTACGTTACCCTTCAACAGTAGCAACAAAGTCAAGCTTACCTTGTAGAAGAACTTCTTGACTAGTGTATGCACAAGAATGAGCGTAGCTGCAGCTGCAGTGCCATACAGAAACACAGAAACATAGAAATGGGTGTACCAAGAAAGAGACCGTCCAATGACGGAGACAAACACTGCCACTATAAGGACTGTCACCATTGAACAGACCCAACTTAACAGTGTTAAGCCAAATGCAGTAAGGAATTTCTTCAGGTTATGAACAGCTGTGAAGAAGAAAAAAGAAGTTTCATTCAACAGTCACGTATTCTACTGCAGACTATCAAGATTGTAATTTCCCCACAATACAATTGCTTTAACAACCAAAATAAAGTGGCATGAGGAGTCCACTCTGAAGATTTCTTAACAGCATGGTCTAAATCACTAAGCCTATTTCTTTGCAAGCCCTTTTGCAGTCTTCCCCACTGCAAGATTTATTCCCAGAGTATTAGCGTGTTTTGCAGATTACGATGTTCCCAACAGTACAAATTTCTCTAGGGAACCAGTGCAGATGGTCTACCATCTGTAAAGTCTCAAAACAAAAAAAAAAGGCAAACAAAAAAAAACCCACAAAACAAAATTGGAGTTGCTTTTCTTATAACTTTTTCTTACTCCAAAAGCGTTTGCTGGATTTGGGAGTGGTGGTAGTGGTGTTTGTTTTCGTTTTTTTTTCCCCAAACAGGTATGTTCCTACACATATCTGGAAAGGTCTAACTAGAAGATTGAAGTTGGTTTACACCCTTTATTAAGCTTTGTTATCTTTTTCTTCCTCATTTGTTGTTTTCTTATTTGCTTCTGTCTATAGACAGGTGTTACAGAAACATGATTCTGAAGCCCTGTCTTTGCTACCAGAACAAAGAATTTATATAGACACTAAGCAATTTTATTTTTTTTTAATTTTCAAATCTTTAAGAGACTTAATTTTAATCTTCATGAAGGGATAAGAGACATAATTGTGGTTCATAAATGCTAGCCATCTAGGCTTATCATAGCCTTTCTTCATCGTACTTATTCACAGTTGAGAGATTTAAACACAAAACAACGCCTATGGCATGCTGCACACCTAAAATTTATTTCTGAAGTTTATCTAAAAAGATGACTTAATCACCTGAACAGTTCTTCATCTACTAATTGATGACTTAATCACCTGAACACTTCTTCATCTACTAATTGCTATTCCCTAAAGAGTAGTGTGATTGATTTTTTTGAGAACTAGACTTACCTCGGGTTTTGGGCTGGAATACTTTCTTACTTAAGTAAAGAAAGGCGATTGCTGCTGTAATATAGTTCATGATGGTGCCAACACGGGCAGGATAAGCCAGGACAAATAAACCAAGTACATCAAAGAACACAACATTTCCATGTCGATACTCAAAAGATTTAGCCAACTTATCTGATGTTGCTAGGTATTTTAGGACAGCCAGAATATTGTCACCTATTAAAAAAAGCAGATACACAACATAGCTACATCAGGGCTGATGAATCAGTATACAGCATGCTTTCAAATATAAGCATTCTTAAAAATGAAACTGTATTGAAATACCCTCAAAGACGTGAATCTACAACTGATTATTCTGAAGTGTGTATTCAATGGTACACAGAGCAAAGTGTTTTCATCAGTTAATCTAGACAGCTGTCACTAAAATAAGTACACTTGGGAAGCATCATGTATTTAAACACTGTTGCAATGAAGGGAGTAGTCAAGCCTTCAGCCCATAAGCCCTTCTTTGGGTTTGATATTAAAGCACTGGACTTCTAGGCTAACCCATAGAAATGTTCATAATTTCCTAATCTTCCTCCTCTTCTCCTTGCCAGTAGTAACCCCTC